AACTCCCGTGAAATAATGCCGTATTTTCTAGGCTGGGGAGGCATTACGATAGGATAAAGCGATTGTAGGGGTTTTATCTGGATTTTGTTTGGGTGTGTCTTGCTCACGTGGGGTCACTTGGACGTTTTTTAAGAGTCCTAAGGGCGGACATTCCTTATAAGCTTTAATCAAAGAGAAAGGAATCAATCGAAAAGCCGAGAAGCGAGCAGATAATACTCCTTTCTCTTCCAAAATCTTTTATAAAGTAAGGTTATCTAGTTCTAATAATATATAATAAGTAAATAATGATTTAGAGGTAGCACTGTCACTTAGTGGTTCTTCGTCTAGCTGATTCCTGGTTGAATTGGAATTTGGAAATGTCGGTTTTTGAGGAGAGGGAAAAACCGGACTACCTGGAGAAAAACCTCTCGGAGCAAAGGAGAGAACCAACAACAAACTCAACCCACATATGGCATCAACGCCAGGATTTCAACCCGGGCCACATTGGTGGGAGGCGAGTGCTCTCACCACTGCCCCACCAATGCTCCCCTTGGTTTCGCTGTATGCACTGAGGAAAAGAGGAGCCGCTCGACTATTTTGAGGCCTTTGTTTATCCACACTGCTTTTGCTATGCGTCGACGCAAATCAAGTGCTCGACGATTGAAGCCAAAAACTGGATAGGGAATGGGCAACTCCCTGGGTGCCACACCCCTAGTACGATATGGCACGGTTGGGCAGACTTTTTCAGGATTAAATGCTATGCCTGCCAAAATCACCATACGAATTATTATGGTTATCTTCTGTGATGAAATTTGTTCGACATCTTCTTCATAAGTCTAAAGGAGTACTTTGTGTATGAGTGAAGACACTAAGTAAAACTTTTATCGCCGAATTGACCTCAAACAGTTATATCCTGGTGACATAACCCCTTAAGGCTGCCTACCACACACAGTCCCTAGAGTGCAAAAAGAAAAGCTGGGTCCTAGTCATAGAAGACTGCGAGCAGCCTGCCTCCAGTTTCCCTCTCGGCCATTTCGCTCTCTCCAGTCCTGCCGAACTTAGACTGACTGAAGAGGGACTGCTCACAGTCTATATTCGTAGAGGGTCCCCAAAAGGGTTCTTCAATCCCGTCATCCCGACCCCAATTTCCGCGTAATCCCGTCATCCCGAGGGTTATTTTTGGCAACCCGCGTCCCGTGCGTACTTTCAATAGGGAGCTTACTTAAGCAACGACGTTTTTGAGCGACGCACGCCAACCGGAAGTGTCTTTTTTTTCAATTTTTGGACGCTGGTTTTGCCCAAATTTTCAGTTAAATCGTCTCTGTAAGAGCAAAGAAGTTAAGCAATACAAATTTTACATCGTCAAGGCATATTTAGAGGGAATAGGAGTCACTTCCGGTTGACGCCCGTCGCTCAAAAACGCCCACCCCATTTTACTTTGAAATCCAGACTTCCGGCATCAAATAAGGCTGATCTCGGACCCCGAAACCTATTGGAGATTCTCATTCGTATGATAACAACAACAACTACATAAGCTTTATTTGCATGACTCTAATTATTTAGTTACAGTAGTGCAAAAGCTTTAACATAAAGTTACAATTTATAACAATGATAATGCAATGCAATGAATACTACAGTCAATCAAGTGTCGTCAGCATGATTTGATAACAAATTAGTAAGTAAATCATTACATAATGAGACAAATTTCAACAAATGTGAATTTACGGAAAAATTCTTTTAATTCATCAATTTTATCATTAATTCTGTGTAAGATAGCTGATTAAAGCCGACAAAATTTTGTTGGGTTTGATTGTAGAATTTCTCCCTTGGGATTGAATATTTTGGACAATGGAAGAGAAAATGAAATTCGTCTTCAATTATACCAGAGTTACAAATAGGGCAGAATCTATCGTTGCGGGAAGTTTGATTATATCTTCCAGTTTCAATCATGAGTTTGTGGTTACTTATACGAATTTTCACTAAGTCTTTCCTATTGGCTGAATTTCTAATTAAGTCTAGATAACTTGAAATTTTATAATCATGTTTAAATAAGCTGTAAAATTGTAGTTTCTTAGAATGATGAATTGTATGTTGCCAATATGTAATATATTTTTGTTTTATTATATCTATATGGTGTTTGATCTTAGCTTCACTTAAATTATTAGCATCAAAATCGGGAAGGTCATAATATTCAGATATTTTCATAAGATTATGGTAAAAGCTATTTTTACCATTACAGTGAAGTTCTAGCGAGGTACGAAAGGCTTGTTTAACAATAGTATCCTCGTTTTTACGCAGAAGATACAATATGTAATAAAGGATGTTTTTTTAAATATTAATAATTAATGGTAATCGTCCTAATTCCCTGCTACTTGCAACATTTGAAGCTTTATTACTTATTGCTAGGTAACGCTTGGAAAATTTCGAGTGGGTTTTTTCAATTGGGGTATTGTCCCAAGCTTTAAAATCATGTTTTACATATACACTCCAAATTTCGCTATTATTTAAGCAATAGACCACACTTTCTATGGGTTTACCGGCGTGATAACCCACGCGGGATGTTGGGAGAACACGAGAAAAGCTTGTAAATCACGAGCCGAAGGCGAGTGATTTACAAGCTTTTCGAGTGTTCTCCCAACATCCCAAGTGGGTTATCACGCCGGTAAACCCATAGAAAGTGTGGTCTATTGCTTTTATAAAATAACTTTTCGTAGAATGGAGTCTTTTAGGTAAAAAATATGGTTCTAGTACCATGATCAAGTCACGTCTTCTCTCTAAAGTCATCGTACGCCAATCATGACTCACGATTTAACAGCGTTGAACTTTCTCAAAACTCAGTTCAGTCAAACAACAAACAGCAGCACTTCAAAACACGAGTTTTTGCACTCATTACACGATAACTTATGAAAGCTGTTTTACAGGAAAAGTCAACACATATTCATGCGAACGTACAATGAAAGAATACGTTCATGGTTTGTTTACTACAGAAGTAGAAATTGATTGAACATCAGACTGTACGCAGCCGTATTTTGTTGAGTCGATCCGTAAGAATTTCGTTATTACAGACGGAACTGACAGCTATTGTAATGGAGGACTTCATTCACTTTTTATAAAGTAAAAAGCAGTGGTTTAAGATCTGTTTTCTGGACTTTATTATGATCAAGAAATGCTGCGGTAACGACGTGGCTGCATTTGCGAAGTTGTCGCATGTAACTTTGTATGCACGTACAGCGACCGATGGAAATATGTCAGTGGTGGAGAAAGGTTTCTTTGTCGTAGCCACATATTGACGTTAATATTTGTCGATTCGTGAAGTCAGGTGGTTCATGAGGTAGGTTATGGCATCGATATCACCGCATAATTTGTGCAAATGTTGGAAAAAACCAGCCCGAAACTCTGACATCTTTCATCATCCTTGGCAGCTTGTTTACAACCTACAGCGGCCGATTTTGTACCATATCTTGATCAGGGATGTCTTTTTTGAACAAGTTCTTTCATTAAGAAATTTACTTTTGATATAAAATAAATCAAGAATGCTAAAACTATCCGTTTTGTTGCTGGTTGGCAAATGGTTAAGTTTTCCTAGAGACTTTCTACACCAGAAATTCACACAGTTGTTGGCTTTCTCTGCGATTTGGCATCGTCGTGAAATGTAAACTGTTTTCCAGCTTTGTACTTTATAACTTCTAAAGCTATGGCAGTAGCGAATTGTGACGCTCAGTATACGTAATAAAATGTGGAAACCAACGCTTTTAATATTAAGAAGGGCTGGGTAAGTAACTTGTTCTGTTTTTTAGCCTTTCTAAAGTCGTTGTTTGCAGATCGATAGCCGGTTTTGTTTATGGCTCGTGGTCTGGATGCCTTTTTCTATGGGTTTACCGGTATAATAAACCATAGGTTTTTGACCAATCAGATCACGCGTACTATCTCAGTTATTTTATAAATGATAATATTGGGGAAATCATCGCTTCGAATATTTTGCAAGCAAGAGAAGGTTTTAATTTGCTAAAGTTTGTGTGTTTTCTAAACTAAAAAAAACTAAAAAGAGCATGAAGAGCCTTCCCTTTCAAGTGTTCGAGTGAGATATTAAAATTACCGGTTGAGGAGATACGGGTTTCTAAATATGTATATTCATGGACAATATCAATGGTTTCTATACCTATATGGAATTCTAGATTGGAGTTTTTCTTCGCTCGTTTTTGAAAGATCATAACTTTGGTCTTTTTGGAATTTATATCTAACATCCAAGAGTTGCAAAAAGAGGATAGTGTGTTGAGACAGCTCTGTAATCCTATTTTAGATGGTGATATAATACTACTGAAATCATCAGCATGTAAAAGCGAATTTAATTTGGTACCATTTGGAAGGATGATAGGGTCTGATTGAAGTATTTTGAAATGCGGACGGTAAATCATTAACGTATAAATTGAAAAGCAAGGGGCTTAAAATACAGCCCTGATAAAGGCGCGGGAAGATGGTGGGAAGTAAGGAGGACAGATCAGTCAATGTCATGACGTCAATAAAAAAAGACTCAATCAATCAAACAAAAAGTCAAAACATAAGGATCCCGGGGGGAGGTACTCCTTAAAGTGGCCTATCCGGGGAGGGCTCCGCCGGAAAGGAGTTTCTTTTTTTTTTCAGGCTTGAGGGAAAGGAAAGAGTAGGTATTTCATTAGTTGAGGCTGTATATGGAAGGGTGGGGACATATGTCATTTCGGTCTCTGAAAGGACCAAAAAGGGTAACAGACGCATTTTATGGATGTGAAAGAGGCAAGGAACTTCCTGGTTCAGTGATTTAATCATATTGAAAAGATGGTGCATTTACAGCAGTTAAAAGAGCATCAGCGTTCTAAACTAGGTGTGTGAAAAGGGTACTTTTTGTCATTATACTGGTATACGAAAGGGGTACCTCGTCTGTCACAAATGGTATATAATAAGGGTAAGGTGTTGGACCTCGGGGCTGAGCCTCCCCGTATAAACCTTCGTTGGGTAGCCCCTCCCCGGGATTAGCATGTCGCCCTTTAAGAGGTTGTTTCGTAGAATACTTCGACATCTGTTGGAGTAAATCGGTAGGTTCCAGCATAGAATTTACATGCATAACCATAGCCAGCACCTTTGGGAAGGTCGTAGTTGACGCCACAATAAGTGCGAGAATCGTTTTTGCTTGCAGCGTTGTTTGTTATCTCAACGTCAATGTTAAAGAATGGTCTGCGCGAAGCACAACTCTTTGCAGGTACTGACGTAAAATTACTCCGCCAGCGTATGATTTCTACCTTAACAGGATTGTACACAGCGTATCCAGAAACGTTGTTGTAGTTCATCAGTGAGTAGATGAAGGCTTTTGTTGAATTTGTATTACGGCAAGAACCTTGGAGAAAATAACAGGCATTTTGCATTCTTTAAAACCTTAATTTACCAGCGAAACACCTGGCTTGTTCATCAAAATTCAACCCCTTGAGGTATTTAGTGATCTAGTTCAACATAGCGAGCCTGTGTACAGCCGCCCCCTGCTCTTGTTGAGGGGAGGAGGCGGAAATAATGGCAAAAACGTTTATCCTCTCCTGTGGCAAATAATGGCAAGGGTCCAAGTGTCGCGTTGATGTCTCGCAAAGAAAATGCATAGTCCAACCTTAGAAACTGTACAAACTCCGTGCAAATGATAGCATATCGGATCTATAAAATAGATCTACGGCACCAAAATAGTAACTACAAAGGACCACAAACGAGTATGCCGCAAAACGTAGGATCTAAAGAAGACCCAGGCCACATTGGTGAAAGGCTAGTGCGCATGCTCTAAGCTCTGAGCCCCACCCGCAACCTCGTTTCCAGGGTTCTTCCTCCTTTCTCGAGGGCGGAAGAGAGAGAACCCTGGGAATGAGGTTGCCCCACCCGCTCAGGGTACTATCATGTTCACAAGGGTGCTTTTGCACAGTAAAATTGCTCATGAATGTTCTGAATGGAGCTTCATTAGCGTTATATTTTTCGATCACCGTGACCGATATAAATTTTTCAGCAGCATTTTGTTTCAGTTAAAGGTGATCGCCAGTTAGAGAGATTTATAGCTATAGATAACTCAGAAAAATAAGACCGGGACCACCCAACCGTAAATTGGTCACCTAATGAATTCACCTTACAGTGGTGATATCCTTTATTCCTGCGATTTGGCCCTTCTGTGGGTTTTTTGTAAGGAGAGAGAGCGAAGTAAAACGTCGCAGAGATTCTTCCCTTCGTGCGATTTCATTTGCAATGAAGATTAAATTCGAGTAAAATCCAAAAATTAGAAAAAATTTTCCGCATGAAACACATGTTATTAAGGGTTTTAGAAAAGTTCCAAAAGTACTTGTTGATCATCAGAAAAATTTTTCATGACTGACAAATAAGTAATAAATAAAATTAAAAAAACACTGTTTAAAAGAAAAGCCTGGAAAAATATAAACAAAATAATTGTGCAGGAAGTCAATACCAGGCTTCGGATGTTAGCAAACATAAAAAAGAAACAGTCCTAATTTTCTTGGTTTATGTACTTACTGGAGTTTTTCCATGATACATCACTGTATCCACCAAATATGAAACTGCCGACTTGAATGATAGTAACAGTGGGTCCCTTGTCATCACAGTTGCCGTGGAACGTAGACGCCGCCCAGCCGTCCTCTTTAGCGTGCCAACACCTCACAAGCCTACTACGGACTGAGCTATTGACCACTGGCTTCAAAAATGAAGTTAAATTCTCTGAGTACCTTCTGTCATTGCGAAGAATAGTTGATCCATTTAAGTAATAAGCTAAAGGAAAATGGTGAAATACAGTAATTTCTTAAGAAACTGCGGTGTCGCGTCGGTAGGGGAGTAAAATTGCTTAAGTTGATAGACATATTTTTATCCCCTGAAAATTTTTCATCTGTTCGGATTTCCTAACTGAAAGTCTAGTGATGGCGGAAATTATAGGGATCAAAAGTTACCTTTTCGAAAATTTCAGCCAGAAAAAAGGCTCCCGAAAATTCTAGGTGACCTTTTTAGGGTAAAAATCCGTTTAAAATGGGCAATTATACCATTTTTTAGATGTTCGAAAATCTTAGGAGAAGCAGGCAAGCAATAAATTTTACGACAAATGTTCCGAAAATTCTAAATCTCAACTCGTCTTCCGAACAGATATTTTCCGAAAATTGGCGTTGGGTGCCCCTGTTTAATAAATATAGTCAATATTTTGAGAAGCTCCTTGAGCTGACTATAGATGCTGAATAATTATCCGAAACATGTTTTCCAAACTAAAATGTTTTAAATGTTTTATTCCTTTTTTGTTTATTGGAATGAACTGACGGAGAAAACAAAGTGCAATTTTAGATTCAGCAAGCCCCTGACAATTGTTTAATTGACTCACGTGCTTCCGCATAGGGAAAGTTATACTAACAATTTCATAGCAGGACAAAATATGTTAGTATGAAGTGTATGATACCTCTAGGCACCAATATGTTTACTAACGTTGTGTAATTTTACAGCAAAAGAAACAAATTAAACTCGGCTCTAGTCGATAAGTTACTGTGAAAACACTCTGCATTTTCAGAAAGAAACTGATAGCCATTAGCGTCATTAGCCGGCTATGGTATGATAACAAACATTTTTTCTGCAAGCCTTGGCTCTCTTCCTTGTACGAAAAAGGAAGTTTTGGGAAAACTCTAAATTATGCATGAGTCTCCAGCAAGCACGTTTGTGTGGGAAAATTTATAAGGAGTACCAAAAACAGGAACCACGAAGAGCCGAAATTCTATTTCTGTGCTTTAAAGAAATTTCGAAGCAGTAAAAGGAAAGCTAAAATTTGCACTGCACTGTGTTAATAGAAAGGAGAAGTCGTTACGTCACGTTGTCATGGTAGCAAAAAGTTTTGGATGACAACAGACCGAAAACGTCACTTAAAAAGTGAATTCGCACCGCTTCAAACTTCATCGATCTTTAATTTGGCAAATGTTGGCGAAATTTCCTCGGGTTGAATCCGAAAGGACCGTAACTAAGTTTAGGAGAGGAAAAAGACAACTTTTGTGTTGTGTTCATCTACTTCATGAAGCAAGCGTGTGAAAGTAGGAAGTTTCATGTCGCAGGGGTGCAACGACGGCAAAGAACTGTACAAAATAGCGTGATGCACGAGCAAATTTGTTGTTTTGTCAAAAAAAACCTATTACTTTTTTTGCCATTCTCCTTCCGTCGCCGTGGTCGTTGGTTTTGTTGTCATGCAGAAATAGTGCTACCATGGTTACGTGACGTCATACTTCTCCTTTCTATTCATAGCACTGTTCAACTTTGTATAGTCAATATGTTGTCAAAAAGTTCCTTGAACTGATGATGAATGCTGAATCATCCGAAACATGCATTTTGTTGTGGTTCGTAAATGAGTAATTTCTTAATTTTATTTGAACGGTCGATGATGGCGCGGTTGAAAGCATTCACCCAAGCATTCATTCGGTCTTTCGTTCATTTCAATTAAGCATTTTCGCCAGTCAGGTCTGAAGGTTAATAATCCTTTAATTCGCTACATTGTTGTTTCTTGCCAATAATAATGAAAATAATAATGATTATGACGATTATGATGATGATGATGATTATAACACGGTCTTTTAAGGCAACTGTTTTGAACAATGCCATAGTTAGGAAACGTTCCAAAGTAAGGAACAGAAAATGTTTGGAAATAACGGAAGAAAGTTTATAATTTCGCTTCCGAAACAGACAAAATTCCATAGTGAACAGATGTCGCTTTCACTTCTTTAATTCTTTCCTCCTTTTCTGTCGATGGTCGGTGCTTCCTAGAGGATTGTCGCCAGTTTTTGAAAGGCACTATGACTTCTCGTTGTCATGCGTCACTCAAAAAGAGGAGATTGTGAAATTCCTGGGAACGAATTCGTTTCCAGATCTCCATCTACATTCAAGATGGCGGTTCATTTTGTTTGTTAATCGTTGATGTTGGACTTCTTGTTGTTGGCGCTTGGCAAGTGGCTTATAGTCTTTTAACTTATCTGAGGCTGGTAAGAGTGATCCCTTTTTCTTTTATAACAGATATTCTTAGTAAAGTACAAAATGGCTCATTTTTTAGCCAAAGAATAAAAAACTGGTGTGATCGTCGTTCGTGTTAAAGTTTTAAACTTAAGCTTTTGTAAGACCCTCGTGTAAGCTTATGTGACACCAGCTTTATATTTAATCGATATTTTCCTCTAAAGTACAGTAGGTTTTATTCAGAAATGCTTCTGGTATTCATGGTCTTGCTATTTTGACGGTAATTTTATTGGAGCGATTGTGAATAATCTTAGTTGAGAAACTGCTCCCGCAGTCCCTGTGATGCTCGATATACCAAGTCAATACAGCCGAACCTCCCGTAAGCGACCACCTAAAATGCAAAGATTGAGTGGTCGCTTACGGGAGTTGGTCGTTTACAAGAATCGAACCACAGGGGATCTCTTACGAGAAGCGGTCCAGGCACATCTACTTTATGGAACATAATCTGTTGCATGCAATGTCTAAGCATAGTTGTCACTAAAGTTCTTTGTATATTATAAGTATCATAGTGAACACAGCAAACATAGAGATCAGAGAATGCATCAAGTGGTCGCTTACAAGAGGTTAAAAACAATGGAAAATCTTCAATTGTCAGGCCCAAAAAGTGGTCACGGGCGCTTACAGAAGGTGGTCGTTTTACTTTACTAGAGGTTCCAACTGTAAGGCTTTGACTGGGAAAATTATGGTGTTTTGGATTGGTGGTCGCTTATTGCAGGTGGTTGCTGATGAAAGGTGGTTGCATATGGAGGTTTGACTGTATAGAGTATATTATGCACTATGTGTCGATCTATCGTGTGAAGTTTATTGTATTATTGTGTAAAGGGCAGGGATCATTCTTGTGTTCTTTGTGACGTAACTCAAGACTTGCTATTCACTTGGTATATGGTGCACTAGCCCACAGTCCCACACTCCTGCAGTGGCTGAAATGTGAATATTAAGTGCTTCTACAACTAGTGCTACCGCAGTCCTGCAGTCCCGCACTCCCACAGTCAATATCAAGTAACAAGTAGGCTTATAGGATACTAGTGCTCCCGCAGTCCCGTAGTCAATTTCAGGATTTATTATGCAAATCGGATGACTGCAAGACTGCAAGAGTAGTTTTTTAAGTTACAGTACTGCTCAAAAGTAAGGTGACAGTCACTCGCATCTTGATCTTTGAGACTTAATGAGACTCAATTCTTGATTCTCGAAACCTTGGAGAATCGAGTTTTGAGTCGCGAGAATCGATTCTTGAGTTTCGAGAATCGAGAGTCGAGTCAAGAAATAATGAGCTTGTCACTTGACTGATCTCTTGAGGAACTAATTCGTCAAACAGACCGCAGTCTGTTACTGCGGACTGCAATAAATGGCTTTTGCAATCCTTGCTACTCCTGTGATGAAGCAAAATTTGCGCTTTTGAAACGTATCCGTGCACAAAGGATGAGTTGAATGGCTGACAAAATTACCCGCTTGTACTGCGCTTTTGAAACAAAAAAGTAACATTTTGGTTGTCGGCCCTGGCTAAAAATTACCGCCGAGTGAGTTTCAAGTCTCGAGCCGAGACTGTCAAATTGCTTTTGAGCGGTACTGTAGAATGATGTTAAGTGGCCAGGTTTTCTGAAATCTAGCCAATTTATTATGTTTATTTTTAAGGAAGTGATGAAGTACCGAAGCACACGAGGAAAGGTAGAAGCCACATCATTTGAAGATGTGCTTTTCAGCGGTTATGCCAGTGATGGTGGATTGTTTATGCCGGAGAGTATTCCAGTTGTTGATAAGGCCATCCTGGAGAAGTGGAGAGGACTTTCATATTTGGAGCTAACTAAGGAGGTGATGTCCCTGTTTATTCCTTCTGAGGAAATCAGTACTGAAGACTTGAATGGTAAGCTTCTTTTTTGAGGAAAATTCAGGGTGCAAAGAAAGTCAATTTTACAGCCTGCTATTCGGGCAAGCTGTAGCTAGCATGTACTAGCCCACGAGTCATTTCAACTAGCCTAAAAACCCTTTCTGATTAGCAGGATTGATTACAATCCTTCTGTAATTTGAATTTCCCCAAAAAAGAGCACTTGCCTGTCGGGCAAGTTAAGAACAAAAATCACTAGCCCAATAGCAAAATCCACTAGCCCCGGGCTGTCAGACACCACTTTCTTTGCATGTTGAAAATCTGATCATTATGAGATTCTGAGAAACTTTCTGACCTACCCCTCCCCTAACCAAATGTTGACACTTAAATTCTTTCTTAGGACAAAATGTTGTGTTAGGGGATGGGTAGGTGGACAGTTCCCTTAAGGAAATCTTAAACTGATCCAAACCAAGAATGGTTAAAATCTGTAAAACAGCTGCCTTTAAGGTGCTCTTGTCTGTTGCCTGAGAAAACAACCAATATTTTGCAATGCGTTCACTGTTTTCCTCATGAAATGATGTCTGAGGAATGAGCGCACAAATTCCATACTGATGACTTGTCACTACCCAGATCTGGGTAGTGCGTCCGATTGGATGAGGGAAATTTTCAGACGATTAGAAGCACTACCCTGATCCGGTTAAAGATGGTCATCAGTGTGGAGTTTCTGCGCTCATTACTCAGACATCATTTCACAGGGAAACCAGTAATTGTGTTAAAAAGCTGTTGTCTCAGGCTATTAAGCTCTTGCTACTTAGTTTTGAGTCCTAATGTACTCCTAGGAGGGTAATAATAATGATAATAATAATAATAATAATAATAATAATAATAATAATAATAGTAGTAATTTATATAGCACTATTCAGCTACTCTTTCATAGTGCTTAGTCAGGGTGATTAGTCAGGGTGCAAAGAAAGTCTTGGACAAATGTTGGATTGCGGTTGCTGCAAGCAACATTCACATGAAAACGAGTCAAGAACAGAAATAAGATGCGAACCATTCATTCGAGCTGTTTTCATCTTAGATAAGATATGCTCGTATAAATGGTACAGTTTGTATCTTATTTAAGACGTGTCTTATTTTTGCTTGTGTAAATGGTCCTGTTGTAACAAGCCTGAAAAATGTTTTTAATGAGCAGGATTGATTACTGTTTTTCTGTGATTTGAACTCCATGTTAAGAACATAATTCAGTAGCCTGATAGCAAAATCTACTAGCCTAAGGTGGGGTTTAAACGTCGAATTTCACATGTGCCGAACTTAATGTGAGAGTTAAATGCATGACTTTTTAAATTAAATACGACGTTTGCCGTATGTGCGACTGAAACATTCGAAGATTTGACTTCAGTTTGACTTTTGACTTAAACGTCGTATTTTACATGTGCCGAACTTAATGCATGAATTTTGGTAAGTTATTTTATTACTGGGAATATTAACTGCGAGCAGAGTTATGACAGAGTTCAGAGAGTTAAATTTGATGTTTCAATCAAATGCCGTATTTAACTATTTTAGTCCACTAAAATAGGAATTAAGTTTGGCACATGTGAAATTCGACGTTTGAACTGGGCCTTAGGCCATCAGACATGCCTTTCTTTGCATGCTGATAATACTGTTGTATGATGGGTTACCTCTTAGAGTAGGCACAAGTTATGTAAGCCCAGAGGTGTGCAAAATAAATTATTAAACTAGCAACATGAGCAAGTGCACTTGGTTACAGTTCTTATCCTTAACAACAACAATGGCATTTAGATTTGTACTGCAAGTTGCACAAATAAGAAATACAGCATATGGAATTAAAAATAACAAACAGTAATGGAACACCAAGAATAACTACACCTGTACAAAGCTAATCTAGGTGGTGACAATTATTTATGAAATCCCAAAACTGTGAAAGAGCAAAGCATATTTCCTTGGTTGATCATTTTATTAGATCTCATAACATTTTCCTTGATGCTGTATTGATTTTGTTAGGAGAAAATTGATGTTAGTCACTCTTTGGAGTTAAAGGGTTAGTGAATAAGCACCTTAAATCTATACTTCTATCCATGGCATGTGCATGCCTATAGCTGATAGCTCATTATGATATAGCTGTGCTATCTATATATCTCATGTTGTTGTTTGCAGACTTGATCAACAAAGCATTCTCAGAATTTGGACACAGAGACCTTCTTTCCATAGCAAAAGTCAACAATTTTCATGTGCTGGAACTATTTCATGGCAAAACTCTTGCATTTAAAGACTATGCTCTTGTCAGTGTTGGCATGTTCATGGATTTTTTTCTGAAGAAAAAGAAGAAGAACACAATTGTTCTTGTGGGAACTTCTGGAGACACTGGTAGTGCAGCCATAGAAAGTGTACGCAGATCAGAATGGATCGACATCATTGTGCTGTTTCCTAAAGGACGTGCCAATCAGATGCAAGAGCTACAGATGACAACAGTAACGGATTCGAATGTTCATGTGTTTAGCACAGAGGGGACGTCAGATGATCTCGATAAACCAATAAAAAATTGTTTTTCTGATCATGAATATGCAGAGACCAATCATCTATCTTCAATTAATTCAATAAACTGGTGTCGTATTATGGCACAGCTTGTGCATATTTTCTATGCTTACTTTCAAGTCTGTCAAGAAGTCGGAGACACTGTGAAGTTCATTATACCAACAGGGGCCCTTGGACATTGTACAGGTAAATAACTCTTTTAATGTAGTGCAATTCAGGGATGTCGCTAAGGCCCAATTCAAATGTCAATATTTCATGTAACGAACCTAATCTCCTCAACTGAGTACATGCAAAGATCGATGTTTGAATGAATAAAGTCCAATTAACATATCTAATTTGGATCAACCCATGAATTAATTCTAGTAAACAAAAAGTTTGACGTTTGAACTGGGCCTAAAAGCTGGCTGTTGGCTGATTTCACGTGCTGAAAAAGACCTTACCACCGGCTCAAATTGTTCTTGCAAACAAAGACATTGCAAGGCTTGGAAAAGAGTCCTGTCTGCTAGTCTGGGACAAGTAGATTTTCTTGCTGGGCAGGTACTGTGTGGCACAAAATTGTTGCGGGATTGGCAATTTTTTTAGGTTTTGCAGGAACTAATTTGTTTGATTAGGCCAGATTAGTTTTTCTTGCTGGGAATTAAGTTTTTCGATTTTCAGAAAGACGGTATGCGTACCTTATGTAAAACCAGTAATTCACTCTATACCGTTTTGCTTGCGAATGAAAGAGGCAAGTTGTAATTAGTACTTTATTTTTGTGTAGTGAATTTAAGTGAGAGAATATTTACTCTGGAGTAGTTTTCTGCGGGAAAAATGTTTTTGCGGTAACTTTTATTTGCAGGAGCTTATTTTCGCTGGAAAAATCACGAAAATTAGAACCCGCAAAAATAATTTTGTGCCACACGGTAACTTTTGAAGCTCCCTGGCCCGGTGCACAAGGGGCCAGGCAAGTCATTCTCTAATAAAATTAAACATGTACTAAAACAAGGAAAGAGTGGCCCCAGGCAAGCGAAATGTGAGAGTTGCTTCCCCAAAGGACAAGCTGGAATTAAAGGGTTTTTTTGAGCCCTGTATGGGGTAATAGGGAGCTTTAGCACCAATGACGGCAACGGCAGCCAAAACATCACTTGTAAAACGAATCCTTGCTTTTTCAAACTTTGTCGCGTCTGTTCCAATTCACTGAAAATGTCAAATGAAGGCGAATTTTCCTAGAGTTGATTTTGTAGGGGACAGTACTCAAGTTTAAAAAGAGAAAGAAAAATTTTGTTGGCGCTTGTTTACGTCTTTCATAAAAATGTGAAATTAGGTATTTTTATGTCATAGTTGTGCGGTGACAGCAACGAAATGTACAGGAAAGTGTGATGCATGTGCAAAGTTGTTGTTTTGCTTAAAAAGGCTATTGCTTTTTTGCTGTTTTCATTGCCGTCACCCTCATCATTGCTAAAGCTCCTTATTTTCGAAGGTGCAGTTGAGCAAAAGGCTGGCTTGACTCTGCCTCATCCCCAGTCACTTGCGATCACTTTTTGGGCAATATTTGAATTAATTATTATTTATTATTATCACTCCCTGCTCATTCTGTTCATCCCCCTCTCATGCTTCTCGCTTGTCTCTGGCTCTTGCGTGTTCCCCACTGAGCCTTGGGAAAGCTTGTCGAGGAGACAGGGCTTGACTAATAACAAAGCCTGCTTAGCTTTTCCTAAGCTACATCCCTATTATGAATTCATATAACGTAGTTTGACTAACTCTTAGGCCGGTTAATGAAAATCCTATGGTGTGACCAATCTAACAAAACCTCTTCAGCAGTGCTTTGACATGGTGCTTCTTAGATTTCTAATCAGTATTTTGCAAATCATAATTTTTTTACTCCTCCTGATTTTTGTTTTGGCTGAACTCTCAAATACTTAATCAGCTGCCTGCCACTCTGAGAAGAGAAGTTACAGAAATGTACAATCCAGGCCAATTTTAGAAGGATTTGTATGGAGTCGTAACAGCATAACAGCGCTGCGTTACATCTTCCTACCAATTTTTAATTACCGTAACTGGTTGATTTTTGGTAAAGGTGCTTTTTCATCATCTAATTTCCTAATATGCCAAACAATCCTATAAATTCACAAATTTGAATTTTTGTGTTGTCACACTTCTTGACTCTGTTGTATACAAATACTAAAGTAGGGGCACATCCAGAAAATCCAGAGAGGGGTGGCCAAAACACTTCCCAGCTATATACATACTATTTATTTACTGAGTTTATTTTTAAATATTTTAAATATTTTAAACATTTTCTATTATTTTTAAAAAAATAATAGAAAATGTCGTAGGCAAAGGAGTGACCAAGGTCTTCTCTGCCAGCCCCTAAATCCGCCCATGTAAAGAATTGAGTTTTTGTAGTTTGTGTTACAGAATAAATGACTTTAACATTAGGTCTACGACTCACAATATTAATTTTTTGTGTTATTTCATTGTTTTCTACAGCGGGTTTGTTGGTGCATAAAATGGGTCTCCCTGTGGAACTTGTTTGTGCTGTCAATGAGAATGATATTGTTCACCGTGCAGTCTCCACTGGAGTTTTCTCTATGTCAGAAGTGGTCCAACAAACCTGGTCAACTGCTATGGACATTCAGGTAACGTTATCATTATTTTGTCTTTGAGTCTAAGGGAGCCAGAGCCCTCGAGAGAGTTAACGGTTTGCGGCAAGGATGGACATAAATTAAAACTTAAAAAAAATTGGACCAACTTTTTCAAGCTTTATTATTGCTATCCCATGGGGGATACTCTGGATTTCAAGTGACAGGGGTGATCGAAAGGGGGCAAAAATCAAAACGCAAAAAAATCCCAAGGGCTTCGAACAAAACCCAAAAAACCCCTAGACCAAAATTTAACAAAAAAAAATCCCATGCTGAATTTCCGAGCCATAAAAATTTCCAAAGAGCATTAAATGAAATAACTATCACGAATCTTCAAATTGTTTTGAATACCCCAAAATAATCCTTACTAAATCAAGCTGCCCCAAAAAATACTTGCCAATATGTTATGACCCAAAGAAATCCCGAAACTGAAAATTTCAAACCGAAAAAAGTCCTTCGATCATCCCTTTCACTTGAAATTCGGAGTACCCCCACCCCCCCTCCCCCCAGGAATGCTATTCCTGCAAAAATCACCCAAAAATTATTGTGGTAAGTGCTCCCTGATGAAATTTGTTTGAGATCTCCTTTGTCACTCTTCTGGAACATTTTCTGTATAGTGAGTAGAGGCACCAATGCAAAAGTTGTCCTAAAACAGCGATATCCTATCTCGTGACATCAGCCCATTTATATAACTACTGCGGCGAAAGAAATGACAACGTTATAAGAACAAAACATTTAATGGGCAAAAGAACTCTGCACAGACAGTTGAATCTCTCGACAACGGCTTCCTTGGGAACAGAAGAAAGTGTCCATTGTAGAGAGGTTGAAACAAGAGTCAATGTATGGACTGTCCGCCAAAAAAAATGGCCGTTGCGGAGAGTTGGCCGTTTGTCGAGATTCGAGGGTACATGTCACTTTTTTATAAACCTGCACAACTTTAAGGTTCAGATTCTTGATGCGACGTTCTATGCAGGAAGTGAACACACAACGGCGAGTTTTCCTTTTAGGTTTCTCTTTGAAATTGATCGCGGCGCCTTATGTATTTGCACTATAAGAAAATATTACGTACATTTGGAAAATTGATCGAGTTCAAATAATCGCGACGAGTTAACACGAATTCACTTTACAGATGATGCTTTCACTGAAGCCGTCGACCTCTATGCTTAAACCGCCAGCAAAAACAATTTGGGTCTAAAATTTTTGAATTGATAGCCATTCTTAGTCTCTGTGTCGTTTTTTCATAGGTTCCGTATAATTTTGAACGCCTGTTGCTCCTCTCCTCTGATATGAACTACGCTTTAGTCGACTCCCTGATGCAAGAATTTGAGCAGAATAATTCTTTGAAAATGCCAGAAGACTTGAGAAATAAGGTAAGAATTTTTTTGTGCACCTCACAAGAGGTGTGCTGTTTTTTGTCTTCGGTTAGCCAGTGGTTTTAGATACCATAAAATCTGAATATAAGCCCTGGATTTATGGCCAAATTGTCTACTTTTTTGACTCTCTGATACACCTCATACACAGTGAAAAATATTTTAAAAACTAGAATACCTTTTAGCCTTTATTAACTTTTCACTTTGACATAATTATTTAGCATTAGACTCGCCTGCAAATAGCTAAAAGCTCATCCCTGCAAACTAGACTGTACACAAGAAAATTTTGTTACATGAATACACATTTTTATACAATGAATGTGCATTTTGCTACCACGTATGAACGTATCACACTTCATATTTTTTTTCAATATGTAAAGAGGAAAGCTACAAACAAAAATTGTCGCAACGTGCAACGTGACTGTTACGCTTGAAAGAAATACTCCAAACTTCAGCAGGGCACCTTTTCAAGAACGATTGTTATACATTGTAGGCACTATATGTCTTCTCATTGGCTGAGAGCCTACAGTTAATTTTGGAAATCAGCGCAACCTACGGGTTAGTTAGTTAACTGCTAGTAGATTAGTGACTAATCTGTAGGTTGCGCGCACAATGCATGATTTCAAAGAGCAGTATCAAAATAAAAACAATCCAATAATTGTTTAAAAATACACGACCAGCTCGCTATCATAAACTACAGTAGTGGGTGAGTTAAGTTGAGCAAAGTGTTAGACGAGATGACAGTTAGCCTGGGAGCAAGTTTCGAAGTTACGTGAGTGGAAGGTAACACGCGAGTGTGTCACGAAAGATTAGGTCCTTCTCACGCCCTCGCGTGCCTCTCTTCGCTGGCCGCTAAAGATGGACTCTTTGCGCCACGGGATTGCAATAGATCGTTTTCACATGACGTCACGACGGCCATATTTGTGTACAAAACAATGGATCGGCGGTCATGTCTGAGCACAAAAAAAAATTCCTCTAGGAATTGAACTCTTTTCACATGTTAAACCTTTCTTTTATTCCAAGCAATTTGCAAAGCTGCTGACCACGTGACTGAAAACGATCAATTGAAAGTGGACAGCTTACTTGGAGACTAGATGACAGCAAGCAAGTTCACACATCGGCGAATTGACCGGTTTCCAAACCTTTCGCTTACTCTTCGTGGCGTGTTGTCACGAAAGCATTCTCCCTGTAGTATTGGCGAATTGCTTTGAAGAATTACTTAACCCTTTCACTGCCAAATTTAGCCGAAAGCAAATTTCGACCAAATTTCCACATTTCATTTTGTGAAATTTTGAAAAACAAATAGCACCATGTGTGAGTACAGGCAGAGAGCTTTCATTTGAATGGTCACATCATAGGATTTTGTCTACAGAATCAAAAGTTAGAGTCACCTTACAAAACACCATCAAACACTCTGGCAGTGAAAGGGTTAATCTTAAGTTACTTTCAATAACTGACCGCAAAGATCAAATAGCAGCACCTATCAGATTTCCAAATTCATCTTCAACGTACCTCTTAGCCTGCTTTGCAGACGTTATTCAACCTCGGTTCGTAACCACTGCGACGCAGCGCCGAGATCCTTGTTCTGGTCCTCCAACGGACTCAATGAATTACCGGAAATACGTTTCGAATTTCCTTTATCCTGATTGGTAAATCAACAATGGCTTTTTTTAACAGGCCAATCATGGCGCGTACTCAAATCCTGGTACACAGCTGGGGGGCCCAGAACACAGATTTCGGCGCTGTTTCGAAGAGCGGCTTAACTAGAGTTTAGCCCGGGGGGTGGGACTCCGCGTATGAAAGGGGTGGGGATGCTCGTCGGAAATTTTGAATTAAACCCCTAAAGGAGACCGATGTGGGCGTGGCCCAAGCTTTTTTTGACCCCAAAAGGAGACCATGTTAAAACACAGACAAATGAAAAAACTTGGATTATATGAATGGAGTAAATAAAACGAATTGAAAATATACATATCAAATACATATTTTTATATTTTTTCGCGTGCAACCCTAAACGAGACCTTCACGGCTAAATATGATGGCGTTTTGCCCAGAACACCTTAAATGAGACCAAAATCCGAAATTTACACCCCTAAGCGAGACGACGAGCATCCCGTCCCCTTTCATATGCGGAGTCCCCCCCCCTGGAGTTAGTTTCGTCTAAGCGCAGGCTACGTAATTCTCACCTCATAAAGATTTCCGACGAAAATTAACGATGGAAAAAAATAATAACCTGACAAAAGTTATAGCATGTTCTACTTTTGGTACTTCCATGTAAATAAACAGAAAACAAGTTACACTTTGCACTCGGCATAAATCTATTCAACAAACAAAACACTTATTTTTTGTCGCGCTTTTCTCGTTCGCCTGCGCAAGGCACTTTGGGTTGCCAGGTTGTTACAACTCGTAGCTACATGGGCATGATCTTCAACGAAAATCTTTTTTAAAATCATCAGAGCTTTTTCATTAAGTTCTTTGGCTTGATTATATTTTCCTAGTCTGCTGTACCTTGTTGCCAAGTTGCTGTAACTTGTTGCCACATCAGCATGATCTTCACCAAAAATCGATTTGCGAATCATCAGTGCTTTTTCGCAAAGTTCTTTGGCTTGATTGTATTCTCCCAGGCTTTTCTACACTGTTGCCAAGTTGTTATAAATCGTTGCTACAACGGTATGATCTTCACTAAAAATCTTTGCGTAAATCATCAGTACCCTTTCGTAAAGTTCTTTGGCTTGATTGTATTCTCCCAGACTGTCGTACACTGTTGCCAAGTTGTTATAAGTCGTTGCTACAACGGCATTATCTTCGCTGAAAATCTTTCTGTAAATCACCAGTGCTTTTTGGTGAAGTTCTTTGGCTTGATTGTATTCTCCCAGGCTGTCGTGGACTGATGCCAAGTTGTTATAACTTGTTGCTGTATCGGCATGATCTTCACCGAAAATCTTTCTGCGAATCATCAGTACTTTTTCATGAAGTTGTTTGGCTTGATTGTATTCTCCCAAGCTTTCGTACACTTTTGCCAGGTTGTTATAACTTGTTCCTACATAGGCATGATCATCTCCGAAAATCTTTGTGCAAATCATCAGTGCTTTTTCGTGAAGTTCTTTGGCTTGATTGTATTCTCCCAGGCTTTTCTACACTGTTGCCAAGTTGTCATTAGTCGTTGCTAGAACGGTATCATCTTCACTTAAAATCTTTGAGTAAATCATCAGTGCCCTTTCGTAAAGTTCTTTGGCTTGATTGTATTCTCCCTGGCTGGCGTGCACTGATGCCAAGTTTTCATAACTTGTTGCTGTATCGGCATGATCTTCACCGAAAATCTTTCTGCGAATCATCAGTGCCCTTTCGTAAAGTTCTTTGGCTTGATTGTATTCTCTCAGGCTGGCGTGCACTGATGCCAAGTTTTCATAACTTGTTCCTGTATCGGCATGATCTTCACCGAAAATCTTTCTGCGAATCGTCAGTGCTTTTTCATAAAGTTCTTTGGCTTTATTATATTCTCTTAGCCTGTTGTACACTGTTGCCAAGTTGCTGTAACTTGTTGCTACATCGGCATGATCTTCACCAAAAATCGATTTGCGAATCATCAGTGTTTTTTCGCAAAGTTCTTTGGCTTGATTGTATTCTCCCAGGTTGTTGTGGACTGATGCCAAGTTGTTATAACTTGTTGCTGTATTGGCATGATCTTCACCGAAAATCTTTCTGCGAATCATCAGTGCTTTTTCATGAAGTTGTTTGGCTTGATCGTATTCTCCCAGGCTGTCGTACACTGTTGCTAAGTTGTTATAAGTCGTTGCTACAACAGCATGATCTTCGCTGAAAATCTTTCTGTAAATCATCAGTGCTTTTTCGTGAAGTTCTTTGGCTTGATTGTATTCTCCCAGGCTTTTGTACACTGTTGCCAAGTTGTTGTAAGTCGTTGCTAAAACGGCATGATCTTCGCTGAAAGTCTTTCTGTAAATCACCAGTGCTTTTTGGTGAAGTTCTTTGGCTTGATTATATTCTCCCAGCCTGTTATACACCAATGCCAAGCTGTTATAACTTGAAGCTACATAGGCATTATCTTCACCGAAAATCTTTTTGAAAATCATCAGTGCTTTTTCATGAAGTTCTTTGGCTAGATTATATTCTCCTAGCCTGTTGTACACTGTTGCCAAGTTGCTGTAACTTGTGGCTACATCGGCGTGATCTTCACCAAAAATCGATTTTTGAATCATCAATGCTTTTTCGCAAAGTTCTTTGGCTTGATTGTATTCTCCCAGGTTGTCGTAGACTGAGGCCAAGTTGTTATAACTTGTTGCTGTATTGGCATGATCTTCACCGAAAATCTTTCTGCGAATCATCAGTGCTTTTTCGTGAAGTTGTTTGGCTTGATTGTATTCTCCCAGGCTGTCGTACACTGTTGCCAGGTTGTCATAACTTGTTGCTACGGAGGCATGATTATCTCCGAAATTCTTTGAGTAAATCGTCAGTGCTTTTTTGTGAAGTTCTTTGGCTTGATTGTATTCTCCTAGCCTGTTGTACACTGTTGCCAAGTTGTTATAACTCGTTGCAACACTGGGATGATCTTCACCGAAAATCTTTCGGCGAATCATCAGTGCTTTTTTGTAAAGTTCTTTGGCTTGATGGTATTCTCCCAGGCTGTCGTGCACTGATGCCAAGTTGTTATAACTTGTTGCCATATCGGCATGATCTTCACCAAAAATCTTTGAGTAAATCAGCAGTGCTTTTTTGTAAAGTTCTTTGGCTTGATTGTATTCTCCCAGGCTGTCGTGCACTGATGCCAAGTTGTTATAACTTGCTGCCATATCGACATGATCTTCACCAAAAATCGATTTGCGAATCATCAGTGCTTTTTCGAAAAGTTCTTTGGCTTGATTGTATTCTCCCAGGCTGTCGTGCACTGATGCCAAGTTGTTATAACTTGTTGCCATATCGGCATGAACTTCACCGAAAATCTTTCTTCGAATCGTCAGTGCTTTTTCATGAAATTCTTTGGCTTGATTATATTCTCCCAGCCTGTTGTAAACATTTGCCAAGTTGCTGTAACTTGTTGCTACATTGGCATGATCTTCACCAAAAATCTTTGAGTAAATCATCAGTGCTTTTTCGCAAAGTTCTTTGGCTTGATTGTATTCTCCCAGGCTGTCGTACACTGTTGCCAAGTTGATATAAGTCGTTGCTACAACGGCATTATCTTCGCTGAAAATCTTTCTGTAAATCATCAGTGCTTTTTGGTGAAGTTCTTTGGCTTGATTGTATTCTCCCAGGCTGTCGTACACTGTTGCCAGGTTGTCATAACTTTTTGCTACGGAGGCATGATTATCTCCGAAATTCTTTGAGTAAATCATCAGTGCTTTTTCGTGAAGTTCTTTGGCTTGATTGTATTCTCCCAGGCTTTGATACATTGTTGCCAAGTTGTTATAACTCGTTGCAACACTGGCATGATCCTCACCGAAAATCTTTCTGCGAATCATCAGTGCTTTTTTGTGAAGTTCTTTGGCTCGATTGTATTCTCCCAGTTTGTTGTGCACTAATGCCAAGTTGTCATAACTTGTTGCTACAGCGGAATGAACTTCACCGAAAATCTTTGTGGAAATTATCAGTGCTTTTTCGTTAAGTTCTTTGGCTTGATTGTGTTCTCCCAGTCTCTCGTGCACAAGTGCCAAGCCTGTATAACTTGTTACGACAGTGGCGTGATCTTCACCGAAAACCTTTTTGAGAATCATCAGTCCTTTTTCGTGAAGTTCTTTGGCTTGATTATATTCTCCCAGGCTGTTATACACCAATGCCAAGCTGTCATAACTTGAAGCTACATCGGCATTATCTTCACCGAAAATCTTTTTGAAAATCATCAGTGCTTTTTCATGAAGTTCTTTGGCTAGATTATATTCTCCTAGTCTGCTGTACACTGTTGCCAAGTTGCTGTAACTTGTTGCTACATCGGCGTGATCTTCACCAAAAATCGATTTTTGAATCGTCAGTGCTTTTTGGCAAAGTTCTTTGGCTTGATTGTATTCTCCCAGGCTGTTTTTGACTGATGCCAAGTTGTTATAACTTGTTGCCGTATCGGCGTGATCTTCACCGAAAATCTTTCTGCGAATCATCAGTGCTTTTTCTTGAAGTTGTTTGGCTTGATTGTATTCTCCCAGGCGTTCGTACACTGTACCACCTATGGCGAAAATCCTCGCCTTAATGGACGCACCTGAAATAGTTTCTTTTATGTTCTCCAGTAGGTTGCATGCTAAATCGACCACAGTTTTTGCAAAGAAAAAGTAAGAATTTTGTTCACAGACACTTGCGAGAGTACCCAGCCAATCAGTTACTATATCCAATTCTACGAAGGGCGTGAACCTTTCGATAAAAGTGCGTTGATCCGAACTACACCCTGAGGTCATGTGATTAATTAAAGATTCGCAGTGGGGCCTCAGTTTTTGACGAAATGCATAGTTCTCTTCATTTTCTTCCAGTTGGGACTTGAAAATCTTTACGGCTTCTGCCATATTGTGGTCCCTGTCCCATGATTTTAGGTTAAACATTTCGCCTCGTTTCAAAGCTTCATAAACAATTTTATGCAAGCGCAGGTACGTACATTGCTTATTCTCTTTCTCGGAATGAACAAGAAGTAGAGAAGACCTTACAATCTTTGCCTTTATTAACGCCTCTGGCTGGTCCTTTACCTGGACTCTGACGAACTTCGAAACAGTTTCGAGTGGGAGATCGTCGTGAGCGCAGAGCGAGAGAAAAGAGTATGTCTGCCAAAGGACCTCGTCAGCGTCAACAGCTCTCTGGACAGCCATTTCTACAGCGGCCATTGTTGTTTTAGCATAGGCTGAACTCTCATTTGCAAGGACAGTTTCAGTCATATTTCGTTGGCCGTATGTTGATATGTCTTGGAGGTATGCTCCCCAATTATAATTTGAAGACCCACTGTTCACAACAGTTTGCATGTAATAGGCAGCAGCAGCCAAGGCCAGTGGCTGAAAATCAAGAAGTTCAGCGACGTTCTCAGCTTGCTCTTGCTCTGGTATTTGCGATACTGTTTCCAGCAATTCAATTGCCTCGTCCCTCCTCATCCCTTTACTTAACGATTCGTGATAAGTGTGAGGAGCGTTTTGTGGAATTGTAGCGCTGTCTTGAGTGGTAATCAATACTTGACCATGGCCCCATTCCTTACTGCCACTTTCAGGCAGTAAGCCGCGAACTAAGCGTAAGTCAATCACATTGTCTGCTATTAACAACCATTTTGTAAAATTGTAAGCCTTTGGGAAAATTAAGCACTTAAGTTGTTGAATTGCTTCAATGGGCTTCTCTCTTTTCAAAGACTCTAAGCTTGTTAAGGCGTATTCTGTGATTCCTAGTTGTCTTCCAAGGGTGATGTAAGAATTCGCAAGTGTCTCGACGCTTTCTGTGTTTAATGTCGCCACAAAGATTAGATCTTCATCGTCGTCCCTTCGTTCAGAAAAGAACTGTTGTCCGATCTCCCTGGCAAGTTGACTCTTACCACATCCTGGATTTCCTGACAAATACACTGTACTAACTGCTCCGTTGGCACCGCTGTAAAGTTCCTCCATTTTGTTTGTGATTCTTGCCATGTCATGCGAACGCCTGATGATATCGTGTGGTGGGCGCGATGTAAGAATGCGAAACGGCTGAAGTTTCGAACTTATTTCTTGGGTGAGAGCCTTGTTTTCTTCTTTTGCGGAACTCAGATCAGCTTCTGTACTCTGAAGTCTGCTTTCCTTTAGCTGTAAGTTAGATTTTGTCTGATCTAACTCAGCTTGGAGATCACGAGCTTGCTTCTTAATCTTCTCCAGTTCCTCCGTTGGAAAGGTCGTCTGCTTCTTGATCTCCTGGATCTCGGTTATAACAAGACCGAGGGATGTAAAAGCGTTCAACACCCTATCTACAGAACTTTGGTAGTCGGCTTCTACCACGTTAGCCTTAGTGATATGAGCGATCTCGTTTCGCACCTGACGAATATCATCGACATCATTATAGACAGCTGGACTTAAGGTGGTACCAATGCTGTCTGAGTACAGGATAGCAAAAAACAAACAGGTGCAGTCCCACTCTGCCGTGTCACCATTCTGGATTGTGGCTAGGCAACGGCCATTCTTCTTGTGACTTGCTTTAGATTCGTTGTTATAGAAATCACGACCATTCTGTGGCGTGTCTTTCCATTCTCCAAGTAGAGTTGTCTTGTAACGAAAATCCCATTCGTTTTTGAAAATTTGCCGCAATCCTACTGGGACCAGATTAAATGCGACGTAGCAGAGCCTGAAGTAATTAAGCTGCTCCTGCGAATATTCCATCACCAACCTATAATCCCGAAAGAGATACTCCTTTTAAGCTTCTTTTAAATAGACCTTGTCACGGTTTTCGATGCCATCTTGACGGGTGGGCAAACGCGTGAGAAATTACAGTGTTTGTATGAGAATCTAAGGTCGAATAATTTCCGCATAACGGCTTTTCTGAAAAAAATATAAATTGTAAACTAAAGCTACAAAGCAAAGGATTTTACTAAAAAAAATTTGGGGGCGTATCTGTGCTTAAAGTTCTCCCGAAGCTTTCTTTAGATTTTCCATATATTTGTCTGTAATTTTTCCCGGGACTTTTTTTACAGACAAATGTACAGAAAGTTTAAAAAAGTGGCTCTAGGTCTTCTAGCGCATGAAACGCCCGAACTTTTTTCAGTAGAATCCTTAGGAGTGAAGCTTTAGTTTACAGTTCATATTTTTTTCAGAACAGCCGTTATACGGAAATTATTCCACATTAGATTCTCATACAAACACTGTAATTTCTCACGTGTTTGCCTACTCGTCAAGATGGCGTCAAGAACCGTGACAAGATCTATTGCAAAAAATTGTCCTTTTTGGACAAATAAAACTTATCAACGTATTACATTCACCATTTTCACATTACCCATAATACACCTTGTTTACCCCCTATAAATTTTGCAGAAGAATTGTCTCACAATTTCCTTGGGATGATTGTAATGCGCAGGAGAAACTGGAAACAATGGTTGTGCAAAATTTTGTTTGGGGAGGGGTGCGTACCATTTACACAAACCACCCTGGTGGGCTGGGTATACTATGGGCAATGTGAAAATGGCGAACTGAAATCTCGAGAATCGGCGCAGATGGACACAGGAACCCCACATAAGTTGAAAGATTATTTTGAAAATGATAATGACTACTTTATAAACGCTTTCTATAAGAGATGGCAGACAAGTAGGTAGTTTTTTCACGCCACTCGGGTAGGCATACTAAGACTTCACACAAACAACTCCACGACAGCGGGTAACATAATGCTCTTGCGCTCTGCTTCCAATGCCTCGGAAAACATGGCGGCTTCGGGCTGGCTCGCTTCATGTGATACTGGGACAAAAGTCACCTTGGGAAAGAGAGCTATCCGGCTCATAATCTGTGTAGTAGGAATGCTATTTGTTGTCTCCCTTTTTAAAACCAGCGAATAGAGACCAAAAATCTTGTATGTAAATTAATGTCGTGCAATAATAACAAGTTTGAGTGTTATAAGAATAAAAAGCACAAGGGGATACAACCCTCCACACGACGTGCGGTCTTCTCGATGCAAACCCTTGCTTAAGAGATATTCGAGATTCTCGTCTCCAGGGTTCTTATTTATTACCAGCTTTTCTGGACACAGGCCTGCCCAGAGGGAATATGCACGAACGGGACTCAGGTCCTATGCGAGGTGCCATCCCTACCCAATCCCACAACCCGTAAAGGTTGGCCACACCTCCGGGGTCTACGACGCCTACTCTTTTCGAATAGTGATGTGGGGTCTTTTACGTCCCACAAGAACAAATCAGTGAAAGTGCTGTGAGACGGGACTTCCGGTTTTTCTTCCTTATCCGAGAAGATTAGAAAGTCTAACCATTTGCAGATGTCATTACAAAGGCAGCAATTTCTTCTCAGTTATTTAAAGACCCTGAGTGTTAGTCCGGTCGGGATTTGAACCCTCGACCTCCTGCTCGGCAGACCGGCCCTCTCCCAACTGAGCTAACCAGGCGGCTTCTCTGTGCGCGGACAAAAAGACGAAGGATCTGGGTTCTAGAGTGGGAACCACTTTACGGCTTTTTAAGAAAGTTTCTTTTAGGTCAAATTTACAAAGAGAAATTTAGTTGTTGGTGTCTGTTAGAGTTTAAAAGTTTATTTTCTTAAGCTAAAAGCAGGTAAAATCTTATCATCATAGAAATTTTGGCTTGAGTGGCGTACGATGGCCAGGTTGCATAAAGCCTTCTTAAGATAAGAGGGCTCTTAACTTTTGTTCTGAAACAATAACCTATTGTTTTGAAATAATAGTGACGAGTTCCCTTAATCTTAAGATTTTTTATGCAACCCGACCCAGGCCAACAAAACGCGAGATAAGTTTTAATGACAAGGATTGGGACTTTTCCCTTAAATTGACGTCACAGAGAGTGACGATATCGCGGCAATATAGCATCGACAACGGACTCTTTAAACGGGGACGGGGGTATTGTATTTTGTGGCTTTGTGCAACGGCAAACACTCATTCAGGCAAAGATTTTTAATTTCAAACGTTTATTCAGTGCCGTTTAAATACTTTTTATCCTCGATATTCTTATTTTCGTCTTATTCCGAATGCACAATTTCTCAACAGAGCGACGCGCCGCGTTCGGTGATAAGGTGAAGCCCCCATGGATGAACATTAGAATTGTGAAGGCAAGTTGAAAATGCCTGTTATGTAAGGTCGAAAATGAAATTTTGAGGACGCAAGCACACGCGTGTTCCCCTAGCGCGGTTCGTAAAGACTGACCAGATAAACTAACTGGCGCCCACCGCTTAGGTTACGATTGTCTAGATTTTGGACGGTAAATGCTCCACTGCGTACAACGTATTTCAATGGGATGGCTACGATCGCCATTCCACATATTTTTAGCCAAGAAGCAACCATTTCACAGAGACAATTATGTGTTACATGCAGAAGCACAAGCAAGTGAGCTAACAAATGTTATTTGCTTTTCTGTACCCATCAGTTATTGTTTAGCTTTTTAGTTGAAAGATACTCTTTTCACTGCCGCATATATAGCTGAAATATAAATGGCCAAGATAGGTAATTACAATTGCATTCAATCGCACACAGAAACATGCACACTGTCATTACGATCGAGGGGATTTTACTAGAATCCTCCTATACAAAACCCTTATTGAGCAAACCTACGACAAAAAAAAATTAATTCACCTGTTTCGTTAGACGCAAACGCACTTACCTTGTCTAAATGAATCCGCAAAAAGTCGATTTGATAAAACCAGAGGTAGCATAAAGGAAGAGAACTGCTCGAAGCTAGTCAAAACGAAGTGATCATCACATGACTGATGTGTCATGACGTAATGTCCTTTAAATAGTGACGCTATCTTTTATGCACCGTAAGTCCTCGAAAAGCCCCCGGGTTTTATTTATTTCAAATACATTTGAAGGGGGGGGGGGAGGGGCTTAATAGAGACAGGGGGATTATCAGAGAGGGGGCCTTATTTAATTTAGCAGAGACTATGGTATCAGTTCTCCATAAAGAAATAGAATACAAAGTGGAAAAGCTCAAGTACAAGAAGGTTGGAGGTCATGCAGCCGAGGATAAAAAAACAAATCTTAACTTTCAGTTGGTGAATAAACCATCCCAGATCAGTCCACACTAAGTTTTACAGTCGTGATTAATAAATAAATCTATCATTTATTAGTGAAGAATAATAAGGGGAAGGGGAAGGCGGGGGAGGGAACTTATTAACTTTCTTCTCCTGGGACAGGCTCCTGGTGTTCAGGGTAGTCACGATATCCGCGCGGGTCACTATAAAGACTAGACACGAAGCCGGAAACGAGGCGTAAATATTCATGCGGACATCCAGGGTATTTAGTGAAAGAACTTAAAAGTGAGTTTTTTTTTTTAAGAAATTTATCTTCACTCTTTGCCCTCCGAGCAACTGAAACCTTTTCTTTATTCTTGTAGATGTCGAAAGTTATTTCCTCGGCTTCTGTGTCATGTGACCAAACACTGCAAACCATGAAGGAATGTTGGGATGAGAACCAGTACCTGCTCTGCCCGCACACAGCTGTTGCTGTTGCAGTGGCCTGGGACCAAAGGTAAAAGAAACTTGGGACTTTCTCAATATCTGCAAACGCATTTTTACGGTAAATTATTGACTCTAGAGTGGTGGTCACCTTATAGAGAACTACCTATCGTCAGCGTCTGTTTCATGTCGTCGGTGGGCCACTCAACAGATTAAGGGGGCTAGCTTCAAGGGAAACTGTGGCGTTGATTCGGTTGTGGGGGTGATTGACAAAACTTTGGTTAAACTGAGTCGATAAAAGGTAGTTTTAGTAAAGGCAACGTAACGTCAAATGAGAAAGCAAAAGCGCGGCCAAATAACTTAATTTCAGGTTACTGCTCTGCCACAGCTCTTCTCGAAGTTGCCTCAAGCCTTTGTTTTAAATAGAGGGTGAGTGCAAAGTCTCATTTTCACAAGAAAGGCTTTACACAGGGCCTCGTTTTGAAACCGAGGGTTTTGGAACTCGGAAATAAACTTTTGGTCAAACCGGTTTTTAGATCTGTGCGCGCAGTCGTCACTGATGTCGCGCTCGTCGCGCTGTCTTTGCAAAATCTTCCGAAAGTCATTTTTCCAGCATTGCTGACGTTTCGAATTTCAGCCTTTCATTAGGCGCAGTTTCCCTCGAAACGGGACTTTATTGAAGCGTACATTGGGCTTCTTGTAATGAGCTACAGTCGCTTGCAGAGACATGACAATGGCGTCACCGTTACGGTTAAAATTATGATGAATAAACTTCGCATTACGAAATCTGAATTCTCTGTTTTGTTGAGTACATCACGCAATTAGAACGTAACGAGATTGCATCTGAATGGATAACGGGCAACAGGTTCTATTAGGTACTGCACTGAACAAATAGAAACAATCAAAAGAATCGTAATTTCCATATTAAGAGGTATAACAGTTGGTTAGTTACTTGTTTGTCTTCTTTTTCGGCTGTTTTTCGCTTGGTGTGAATCAACTTAACGACCTTTGCGCTTTTTTTAGCCTGCCGTCGTCATTCAGCGGTACTTGGCGCAGGCGCGTTAAATTCCCATCCCGCGGGTTGTGGCCAAATAACAAATAACGCTTTGTTTTATTCTCAGGCATCTCTCTGAGCTCAAGACACCCACCGTTTGCATGGCAACGGCCAGTCCTGCCAAGTTCCCTGAGGCAGTGAAGGCTGCCGGTATAGAAATGCCAATGAGTCCTCAGCTGGCTCAGTTGCTTACCAGGTCCACCCGGTGTAAAGAAATGAAAGCAGGGGAGGACTGGGACCAGATGTTGAGGGCCACAATCGATGAGATTTCCAAGAAACGTTCCAAACCTTTAAAATTTTCTTCTGCATAAGGTGTGACTATGCAAACTTGTTTAGAGTGTTAGATGTCAGATGAAAATTTCTGCATGTCAACTACGGCATTTCTGCGAGTGAATCGGCCAAAACGGCCTTCGCAATAAGGTATTTGAAATGTTTTTAGGATTCTTTTGAACAACAACGCAAACTATCTGTAATTTAATATTTCATCAGTTTTTGATAAAAGTCGTGGGAAAAAGTATTTTTTCACAGTATTCATTGTATAGTGTACCTACGAGTGTTGTGTTCTTTTCACTCTCGCTTCCTATTCTACATAATTTGCGGTGCAGTCGTGAGATTTTTATAATTTTTGATCGTTTAGCCTGTAAGTACAAGGTTGGGACATCAATCCCAGTTTAAGGCAAAAGTCGGAACAAGTGAGAGTTTCTTTTGTACTTAAAGGCTTGTAGTGACCTTAAACCTAAACGTGCATACAAATTTTAACCAAACATAGGTGTATATAAATTTTACTCTCTTTTTTCATTAACCCTTTCACTGCCAGAGTGCTTAATGGAGTTTTGTAAGGTGACTCTACCTTTTGAGTCTGCGGACGAAATTCTATGATGTGACCATTCAAATGAAAGCTACTGAGCAGTACTTTCCTGTGGTACTGTTTATTATTTCCAGGGGCATGCTCCCTCGAGAAACTTTTTGGATTGTAACTCACTAAGGTCCCCTTAATTATTGGGATTCTGAGTCATTCAGAAGCGATATTGGCTAGTTCCATTCTCCTCGCAATGAAGCCTTAAAAATCGTAAAAAAATTGTCCGCACCATTTTCCAGATTTCGACTTGGACAAGTTTTTTTGTGTTAAAAAATATATTTATTATGAACAATCTGACCGATTTCCGTAAAACGTTGGATACCGGTGTGGATCCGCGCCTTCTCCGACTCATTTGACACGTTTAGTGAATGCAATGTCGTTAAATACACATTTTCTTGAGAAGCAAGCATGTGCAGTGCTCCTTCAACTACGGTGAATCGGTATCATTCACATCCACGCACAAATTATCATTTTTAAGGGCGGTAGCTTACAATTCTCACCCAAAATAGCATGACCTATTAGCAGAAAATTATGAGCAGTACAGGGTCGAGTAAAGTGAGGTCTAACCATCAATCATGTCATGATAAACCTTGCATGCTGTCTCCAGCACAAATCGTTTCAGATGTCAGCATGCGAATACACATTGTACAACGAATCTGGTAACTTCTCATTTCAAAACTGAACTGCTTTTTTACAGGTAAGAAAACTAGTTAGTTCGTTAATATGTTTTATTTGCTGGCCATGTATGACAGATTTTACCTGCTTTCAGTGAATATTTGCGAGAGTCTTAGAGCCGATTTACTGCGACTATTAGTGACCTATCAGGCAATTATAAAATCTAACTCCTTCTAGCACGAAAACGCATAACCTTATTTGCTTTTTAGTATGAAAGACGGTCAAAAAGCATCCCCAACTGAAAATTTTGCTGGCTATCTCTTAAGACGTTAAAAAATGAAATGTAGAAGCAGCAAGCGTAAAACTCAGGCCGGTTCAACCAATTTTCACCTTATTATTGAAAGGTTCTACAATGGGTTGCTATGTGAATGAAGAAATACCGGTCCGAAATTTGTGCTTCCCTATATAAAAGAACTATTCTTGCATGAAACATACCATCCTCGGCGACCCAAGGGTCAGTCAGTTGGGAAAATACGCGCTACGGCAATAAGTTTGCCGGAGCAGGATTAGGTTAATTCACATTTATACACGGTAGTAATATGTTATTTGTTTTATTTCATGCAGCAAAGATTTTAGAGTGTTTACATGTATCGCGTGACCTGTTAGAAGCTGGTCAAGTTATTATTAGATTAGAAGGGTATTTTTACTTCAATAAAAGCTCAATAAGTACGTTACGGGAGATAAACTGTGTAGATTTAAAGAGATAACGTTTTACACTGAATCACGCACACATATTGTCGTTCTTTTTAAACACAGTGGGGCATTTTTTACGAATTTATTTTGGAATTTTCAATTACGAGAAAGAAAGATTTGTCCCGAATTTTAATACACACAGGTTTTGTTTGATGGAAAATTCATTTTCTTTCAAGACAAAACATGTCTGCCCTTGTTGACCCCATTTTTAGGGCGACAAAGTGCACTGAACATTCCGCACAAGTGAATTTGTTTGTATTCAGGTTCCATGATTTTTTTAACTATTGACATGGACCAGTTAGGAAAAATCTGTCAACTCTCCTGGTAAGAGTGTCTTAAAATTAGTAAAATTCCCCTGTTTGAAAGTGGTACGTCTTGTTAAACGAGCTCCGTAAAGTTGCAAAAATTTTCAAACGTTTATATGGTCGGGGTCAAGTTTGTACCCCCCACCACACAAACGCCGTCTCGGGGTAACATTTCGCGACTTATATTTTCGTTGGGTTTCATTTGATCACTTTTAAACTTGGCAATCATACTAATTCAAAGGAGTCGAAAGATTTCCGGCCCTAACTGGGACATGTCAAAAGTCGAATAACCGTGGAAGGGTCGACTAAGGAAAACCAAAAAACAATTCAACTGATCCTAGCTTATGGTGGAGGAAAGAAATATAATAAACTTGCGCGTGCGAGATTCTGTGTTCTTGTGTCTCCGGGCTTGTTTTGCGATCCTGCCTTATAACCCTTATTAAAAACGCTTTTCGCAATACACACTTACGCAAGGTGTTTGAAGGTCAAGAGGCCAAAAACTGGACGTTAAGATCACGTAAAAAGTAGCCTGTTTTGCTGCTCAGCTGGCGGTTTTGTTACTGTTCGGGAATAGTCGCACGCAAGCCCTCTTTTTTACGTGACTTTTGAAAGGGCGTGGCGTGTGTGGGCCTCGTAGCCAAATTTGCGGAAGTTTACTTTCGTCGGACAATAAGATGAATAAATAAAAAATAGTAACAAAAGCTATCATACTGTTCACAAAATTATATTTCAGTGCACGGACGACACACCTGGAAATTTTTGCGTCCATTCTGGCATTTCTTGTGAGCCATTTCTTGCCCAGCTCAATCATGACCTATGTTCATTCAAGCGCCGGTTCGTCAATAAACATGCATCCTTAAAAGCCACAGCTCCTCAATTACAAGCGATCGATCTCACTGTTATTTCCAAACAGTCTGTGCAATATTTTCTAATTCAAAGCAGATTTTCACCAAGAAACACAGCTTTGACAATATGCGTGCTTGGTTGTTTAGTTTTCCAACATACATCCAATCGCTAATTGGCAGTCGCTCGGTAAACACTATTGTTTTGAGGGCGTCGTCGATCAACTTGCCAGTTTATTCTAAAGCACTTTATCCGGATTTAGATAAATCTGATCAACATCAAGTGCAACCTAAAAGGTTATTTGGACAGTTAAACAAGCGAGGAGCTTTACAAGACCAAATAGGATCAAGAACCCGAGCTGTTCTCGTTTAAATTTCTTTTAAACTGTTTGTTTATGGGCATGGCTTCTTCTTTGTTTTTGCTAGATAAACAATAC